CCCAAAGTACTTTGAACTCTGCACATGCTCAGAGGCTTTGTGTGTGCTGCTTCTGCAGTACTCACAAAGTGGTGGTACCTTCCTGCCAGAGCATCCCCCCTTTTCTTGGCTCTGTGGAATAGCCAAGCCCACAGAGTCAAGAAATCCAAATTTTCCAGCACAAATCCCCCCTGAATTCAGTTGGCCAGACCAAACCCAGAGAAAAGGCTGCAGTTACTGTCTCTTTAAATAGTGGGAGTGCTCTTAGCAAGGGAGACTATTCCTCCTTTTTTCATTCGTTTTTTCTTGTCTTTACTCCAAAAGTTACACATTTCTTACCATATTTTTTTCCAGTAGAAAAAGTACCAAATCACCATTTACCAAAAACTTTTAAAATTCTCTCTCACACCAAGCACCATGCACCCCTTGAATCAAGGAATTCCTACTCATATGGCATACACACAATATTCAGAAAAATAAAAATCTTTTTGCCTTTCACTCAAACCTCACATTCCAAACAGTTGCAAGTTCAACAGGGGGAGAGAAACCAGCCAATTTGGCAGAAATATTTATTAATGGTTAACTGCAATCTATCTTCCCCTGATTTTACACTCTGCCCTGTTGAATTCCAGCCTGCTACTGCTCAGGCTAATTGCTAAACACAACAATCCAAATTTTCTAAGACTTTACCAGCAAAATGTTCCCAATATAAAACCCTTTTCTTTATCTCTCTGGGAATCTTTTTCAGGATTCCTACTGAGTATTCCCAACAGTATATACATTTTTTTTCCATCTTTCATCTGCCCATCTGCATCCCCTCCTGGAATTTCAAACACAATTATTTAATCTAACAAGAAAGAAATCTTCTTACCTAGGAGGGCTGTAAGGCAGATGGAAGAGGCAGAAGCACTTGCAAGACATTAGAACAGTGTTCCCGGTTTCTGACAAGGAAAGGACCTGCATAAAAATGTTTCTATATAACCCCTCTTGCACACAGGGCTTTCACACAGGATAAGCTTATTGAGGATGTCCAGAAAACTGGGTGGGACCTGTGTTAGCCCAATTCAAGGGCCACAGATTTCCTTCCTTCCCAGTTCGGGCTCATATAGAAGGAATGGGGGAAGGAAAAAAATCACACACACATTTCCCTGATCATCACCTTTTCCCCAGCCGGACTCAGCCAGGCTTGGGCTCAGGCAAATGACCTCATGAATCTGTTTCTCAATCAAAGCCAGGTTCACACATCCTCATCTCAGGGGCAAGAACACCCATCCACTCCCTTGCTTTCAACCGTGCCCTGAAGAGGACAGATCGGTGCAGCTGCATGGGGAGCTTCTATTTCCTGAGGAACCCCCAAAACCCACCCTGGCCTTTGCTTACCTCCCAGAAAGGGGAACACTGCAAAATACAAACCGACAAGACAGAAAACACAAACAGCAACAATGAACACAAGACTTTCACAAACAGTGAACATAAAACTCTACACAAACCCCAATGCAGACATGTACTCACACGTGTAGATCTTTCCTGGTGCACCAAAACCCTATTAGCTAGCTTTTTTCCTCCACCAGCTTGGACCAAAGCAAAACTTATTCCATCTCCTTAGAATGTATTTCCGCCAAATGCTTTTGCAAAAGGTGTAGCCAATTTCAATCAAATGAGCCCTCTGAGGCCAAATTAGTTAGGTCTGACCATGCTGCTTTAAATCAAAATACCAAGTGCTTGCTTCTGTGACAACCCCTCGCTGTGTCCTTTTCGGCCCTTCTGTTCTCCCTCGCTAGTAAAGGCCTCCTTGGGCCTGGCCCTAAAGCCAGCCGTGAAGGGAAACCGAAATTATTCTTTAAAAGAAAGATGAAAGCCACGGGCTTCGAAAACACATTCAGTTGTAGGGTTTCTACTCCAATCAAGTATATCATCGGGTCCCCTCAAGCTTGCAAGGGATCAAAAACTTAACCCTGAGGGGGTTTGCTAGTGGCGGCGACGTATTTTTAACTGTGCAAACTGACCGGGAGCACTTTGGCTATTGGGTGATATAAACATGAAATAAATATCCTATTTTTCCCAATTAGCTCTAGCTGGGAACCCCCCAGGCAGCGAAGGGATGAGGCAGACGTTTGCGGTCCGAGAAGAGTTTAGGGTTAAAAAGGACTATTTCGTTACACTCTGGGGGGCTTTTTTCTGAATTTCACTTTGGGCCCTGGCAGGAAAGTCCCTGAAGGGAGGACATGGCCCCTTCGCAGCTCAGGCGCCCGCCGTGATGCGTCACCTCGGAGCAGAAGCATCTGCATGGCGGCCAAAAATTCTTGACTCCATCCATCCATCCAGATCCGGGCGGCACGAGGCGTTTGTGGGGAGAACTGCCCCCTTTAAGGCCGCTGTGTGCCCCCCGCTGCACTATTTCCTGTGATCTCTCATCTAGCGTTTCCCACCCCACAGACGGCAGGCGCTGCGTCTGGGCCTGGCCCCCAAACAGGCGGCAAGCAGCCAGAGGGGGCCAGTCGGGTCGCCTGGGCCTCTGCGGCAGAAAATCCAACCAGCCACCGGAACACAATAAGCAGTACAGTAAATGAGGAATTTTTGCTACTTGGCTCCTGATTTCCCACGTCGGCAGAGGCAGCTGCTCACGCCCCGAAATCTGTGTTTTTAGGGAGCAGCCCTGCTGGCAAGGGGATTATGACCCGGAGGGGCTGCACAGAAAGACCTCGGAGAAAAACCCAAGAGGGACGAGTGGATGACCCCGTGCATCCAGGCAAATTTGGCAGAGGTTTTCGGGGCCCTGCAGCTTCCTTTCAGCAAAGCCGTTCTTTCCAGTGACGTGGGCAGCGACCCATTTCAAAATAGCACGCTCTGCAGTGGGTCCCTGTCCGGGAAGCATCTGAAACCCCACTAAGCGAGCGAGCCGTGAAGGCACCCGCAGGTGATGTGCAGACCCGTTTCCCCAGATGCCTTCCCTTGGGTTTAGAAAGGTGACCCTGAAAGACAAGACTATGCTAGCATATTTATATTCCTGCAAGGTGTGAGGGAAATGGAAGTTTGGTTGTTCCTTGGGGCTCCATTTTGCCCACTTTGTAGAAACATAGAAGCAGAGCAAGGCAGAAGGGGCCTCCCAGGTCATCTAGTCTGACCCCAGCTCCAGCCGGCTCTGCTCATAGAAACATAGAAACAGAGGGAGGCAGAAGGGGCCTCTGGGCCATCTAGTCTGACCCCAGCTCCAGCCGGCTCTGCTCACAACAGGCCCTCATGTGCGTGTCCAGCGGTCCTTGAACCACTCACGGATGGGGCCTCAACCACCTCCCAGGAAAGCCCACTCCATCCTCTCGGGGTCCTGTCAGGACGTGCTTCCTGGCATCTAAATGGAACCACGGTTGTACACGGAGAGCCTCTTCTGTGGAATAGTGCTTTTTCCACCGCACATGCCGGGGCTCTTGAGCAGCCACTGCGCCCACCGGGAGTGAAGCCAACCAAGGCACTGCTGCTTTCCAGCACCAGCACGAGAAGGCCCTGTCTTAGGCCTAGAGCAAACTCATGATGTTCAGTAGAAGCCTGCAGCCCCCCCCCCACACCCCCATAATCAGCCCCAGGGATGGTGCAGCAAAGCAGCTGTACCCGAGGAGGTGGCCTGCCAAACCAAGGAGCTGTGGGCTTGCGATGTGAACTCGCATTTCTGCGCCCGTAACGCAGACGCTGCCACCGCCCACGCAATGCCTCGCCACAAGGAAATGCACTCGCTTCCGCCAAGTGCGGGGCCTCCGAGCCAGCTTGGAGAAGGCAGTTGAGCGAGCCACCAAGGCCTCGCTGCCCCAGTGCTGCCCCCCAGTGGCTGCTGGCTAAGCACCTCTCCAGGGTCAGCCCCCCCCCCCCCCCAAGAGAGCTGAGCAACAGTGGGAGCCCTGGACTTCATGGAAGTGATGGGCAGACTGGGGAGGGGGGAGTGGCAGTCTTCACGCCATGTTGCCTAGGGGTCTCCTACTGCACGCACCTTCAGCACCAGCAAGTTAGACAGAAGGGGCCTCCCGGGCCATCTAGTCTGACCCCGGCTCCGCTCACATGCCCACCATGTGCATGTCCAGCCTGTCCCTGAACCCCCGCACCCATGGGGCCTCAACTGCCTCTTGCAGAAGCCCATCCAGACCCTCAGGATTCCTGTCAGGAAGTGCTTCCCAGCACCCGAATTGAACGTTGGCTCCCTGAGCTTTGCTCTGTTGGAGCGTGTCCTGCCTTCCTCTGCAGAGAACAGCTCTCTCCCCACCTCCGTGTGACACCCCCTCACATACCTGCATGTCGCCAACAGATCCCCTCTGAGTCTCCTCTCCTCCAGGCTGAAGAGACCCAGTTCCCCCAGTCTCGCCCCATACCCCATCCCCTATAAACCGGCCACCAACCTTGGGGCCCTGCGCTGCACTGACTCCAACCTGGCTATATCCTTCCTGTAACGAGGGGCCCAAAACTGAGCACAATACTCCAGTTGGGGGCGCACCAGAGCCGCACAGAGTGGCAGTAATCCCTCTCTCGACCCGAGTATCTTCTTTTATAGGCCAATACTTCTATCTGCAATGCTTTCAACCCATCTTCCTGGAACAGATGTTAAAAGGCCTGTCCTTTCCCAGGAAACCTCCCGATACTTTTAGAAAGTAGTGTTGCTTCAGCCATTCTCCAGCCCTGCAGGAGAGTCTGATTTCAGGGGCGCGCTACTTGTTTTCCTTAGACCAGCGATTTCCTGTTTGGACTTTTCCCGGGGCCTGCTCCTTCGACTGCCATTTACCAGTAACCCCCGTCACCCAGGGGGTTTTGCCTACATTATCCCCTGCCTAGGTGGAGTGGCTGCTGCACTGGACCCACACTGGCTGCTCGAGAGGAAGGCGGTGCGACCGAGGAAGGGCAGAGCCGACGGCTGGAGGCGGCACAGCAGCCCAACCCAGAAAAGCCACTCGGATCCGCAAAGAGCCGGGTTCACTCTTGGCCTTCTTGCACGGCGAAAAACGCTGCCGCTCCCACACTGGCTCACTCAGTCCAGACCAGCCTGTATAATACTTTTTTATTTACATGTTAAAGAACCAGGTTTAACATACAATAAGATGAAACAGAACCCTAGAAGGTGGAAAGGGCGGGGGGGGGGGAGATGAAGAGTAGAAAAAAAATATACAATCAACATAAAAAACTCAAGAAGGCCACCGCCATTACAGCCTCCCTTGAGGGGCGAAGAACATGCTGTCTTGATTTTGCCCAGATACGGTCACAGTTGCTCTCACTCCAGATCCCAGGGACAGCCTCCAACGGGAGAAAATAAATAGAAGAACCTCGAGTGCCAACACGCGAGAGAGGAGGTGACCGTTCCCGACAAGAGTCTCGCCTCCGTTCCGTTTTGCCCAGGCTGAGCATCTGGGGCGCACCCCCCCCCATGGCAGTCCCTACCTGTCCCTCCAGTGAAGGAGCGTCACAAAACCAAACTTGCTAAACGCTTTATAAAAACCACAAGTTTTTTTTCTTATTTTTTTTTCTTTTTTGAGTCAACCAAAACAGTAAAACACTGCCCCCGATTGCTGGAGCAAGCCGCACGGTCAGGGTGCCCCGTGCCCCAGCACAAACACAGCGGGGCCAGCTCACGCCCCGTGTCCCAAGGGTGGAACAAACAGGAAACCAACCGGGAAGCCCTCCCTTGCCCGGCTCCCAGAGGAGCCCGTCCGTCGTGTAGTTCTGGTCCCGCAGAACCTCTTCCGAACAGGCCTCCCGCCCATCCGCCTGCCTGCCTGCCTGCCGGTCGCTTGCAGTCACCCAACAGCCTAGCTGGAGTCGGAGTCGCTTGTGTCGGAGGAGGAGGAGGAGGAGCTGGAGCTGCTCGAGTCGGAGCTGGAGCTGCTGGCACTCAGGCGCGAGACGGCCACCTGCTGGGCGGACTCCGGCTTCTCGCTCACTGCAGGGGGGGGGAGAGAAAGGGGGCAGGTCACCCACACAGCACGTCCCGCCGGGGGGGGGGGGGGGGGGACCGACACCCGGGGGACGGCCCGGGACTGGCTTACCCTTCTTGGGGGGCTTCTTGGCCGAGTTCAGTTGCCCGCTGACATCCTGTAGTCGTTTCTCCAGCTCCCGCTTCTTCTCGAGGGCGAGCTCCTCTTTTGTCTTGCCCACCGGCTTCTTCAGGGCTGCAAGGGGGGGGGGAACACCTGTTCAGTGCCCACACGGGGACTGCGCACTCCCCAAGGGCCCCTGGCCGGCCCGGGGGTGCTCCCTGCCCTCTGCCTCGCTCCCCGGGAAGGCCATGGGCAGCCTCCGGCTGTGCCTAGGAGACCCTTCCCCAGCTGACGAGCAGAGGGGAACATGTCTTCTCCGGCACTTCTTGGTAGGCTCCCCCACCCCAAACCAGCCAAAATCACTGTTTCTGTGTAGGGTTTCTGCTCCGTAAAAGTACGGAGAGAAGGGAATCGGGGGGAAGAGAGAAAATTGTGGTCCTTCCTACACTCAGCTCCGGCCCCTTCCCCCCCCCCATGTGGAAATCCCATCCTCAACTCTAGAAAGGTTGCCCAGCCTTCCCCACTTTTTCCTTGCCCTCCCTCCCACGCTGAATTCATGGCCCACCAAAACTGAAGAGGCTTCGTTACGCACTTTATATAAATATTTATACAAGGCAGAGAAGTTCAGCTTTCTTTGGCGGCATCCAGAGTACACTCAGGCGCAAGCTTAAGAGCCGACCATTCATAAGTGAACAGGGGTCAGATGCGCTTGCCCGCGGAGGGCGGCTCCCCTAAAGGAGGACGCTTTGCCCGTTTTCCTTCCAAAGGACGACCCAAAGAGCCTCCAATAACATTACAGAAGAACTTAAAAACTAGACTGCCTCAGATCGCAGGGGAGAATGTAGCTTCTGTCAGACGAGAGTTTAGGCACACCATAAGAAGGTGAGACTCGCCAGAGAAGACACACCTGCTAGGGGAAGGCAGGGCGGAAGAGGGGAAGCCAGCTCCGAGGCAGACCGATTCCGTGACGGAAGCCACAGCCTTCGGTCAGCAAGAGCTGAGCCGGGCTGTGGAGGACGGGCCTCTTGCAGGACGTCCACGCCCAGGGCCGCCACGAGCTGGAGGCGACGTGCCGGCCCCGAGCACCATGTGGCACCAGGTGCCGGGGGCAACATCCACCCGGCACCACCAAAACGCATCTTCTTCGCAGCCACACGGCACAGGCCGCAGCCAAGGCAGGCACTCCCCACCGCGGCGGCCTCGGGGGACCACTTCTGCGCCTGGCCGTCAGCTCGGGGAGGGGCTGAAGAGGGCAAGCACAGGCCGCCCCCTCCAGCTCTGCGGGGGGAGCAGCCACCCGAGTGGTGGGCTTCCTGCCGCCAGCCACGCCTGAGCCCGCAAAGCCCCCCCCCCGGCCACTCACTCTCGCTGTATGGCTTGCGGGGCTTCTTGCGTAGGCAGGACAGCACGTAGCGCTCCAGCTCCCGCAGCGTGGAGGGCTTGAGCGTCTCAAAGTCGATCTCGATCTCCTCCGGGTTGGAGTCGCGCAGGGACGGCTCCCGGGACTGAATGATGTGCACCACCCGGCCCAGCTTCTCCCCCGGCAGCTTGTTGATGTCCAGGCTGAGCTGGCGCTTCTCGTCGTACGTCATGGGCCTGCTCTCCTCCTCCTCCTCCGAATCGTAGAGCACGGGGACCGGGGGCGGGAGGGCCTTGACGCTGGCCTTCTTGGAGTTCCTGGGGAGGACGACAGCGAGGGGGCGTGTGAGGCATGCGCCAGCCACACCTCACTCAGGGCGGCTCCTGTAGGAGCACGGGGGCAGCAGCTGTCAGACTGTTTTGGCTTATTCACAGAAAGAATTCGCCACGGTCGATCCGCCGGGGAAAGAGAGTCATCAGCCAGCTCTAACCCCCCTCCCCACTCCCTCGGCCAGCCCCACTCACTTGCCACCGCCGCCGCCGCCGCCACCGGCCGCTTTCTTCGACTTCTTGAGCTGAGCCTGGTGAGCCCGGGCCTCCTCGTCCCCTGCCTTGCCCTTGCGCTTCTCGGACTTCTTCTTTTTCTTCTTCTCCTTCTTGTCGCGCTTCTTCTTGGGCTTGGAGACTGGTCCCTGCGAGAGAGCTGCGAGCTGCTCGTGCACTGCCCGTAGCTGGAAGGCAAGGAGACGCGCTCTGCAGCAGCCGCTCAAGCGCCAGGCCAAGAACCGGGGAGCTGGCAGGCCCCCCTCAGACCTCCTTGCGACGCTGAGTGCTTTTTGGTGCTGCGGAGACTAGGATGCTATGGAGGTCAGTGCCCCGGCTCTCGAGGTTTTCAGAAATGCGGTATAAAAACATCCTAGAGAAATGTATGATTTACAGCCACATCTCCCCCACACAAACCCTAAGGCAAAAGAGAACAGAGCTGGGGCCACTCAGCTAAGAACGCCTCACCTGTTCCTGGAGCTCAGCTAGCCTATTGGCTCGTTCCTCCTCGGAGTCTGAACTCTCCTCACTGTCCGATGAGCTTTCGCTGCTGCTCTCATCTTCATCCCCCTCTTCGTCGTCGTCATCGTCGTCGTCGTCACTAGAAGAATCATCTGTGGAGGACTTCATCAGGAGTCCTGGCTGTGGGAGTGAGGTGGAGGGGGGGTTGATGTCTATGGGCTCATCGGGCATCTTGGCGTAACTGAACTCAAAGACATCCTGCAAGAGGGCAGCAAAGATGTGAGGTTCGCTACTGGGAGGGTGAGAAGATGCAGGGGAAGGCCAGTGTGGCTTGCTTGCCACCGACTCACCTGCAGCTTGCGAGCCATGGCTACCACATCGTGATCCGGGGGGTTGTACTTGTAGCAGTTAGAGAACATCAGTCGCACGTCAGAGGCAAACTCCTGCGCATCATGGTACTCCCGATTTTCCATCTTGCGCTGAATGCAGAGTTAGGAAGGGAGAGAAACCCATACAGTAAGGAAATAAGGTGCCAACAGAAGCTGGAGCTTCCAACAACAGACAAGAAGGTACCTACTAACTCTCCAGCACCAAAACTTTCAACTAAATTGTCTTGCAAAGCATGATCTTTGTTTCCAAATTGTAGGCACTGTGGCTGCCAAAAAATCGACACTGGATGCTCTAAAACTGGTGGGAGTAGATGGCATGGAGTGGGTGCAGCCCAGAGTTTCAGAGGTACTCCTCTTGCCCAGACCCTTCCCTCCTTCCCCACACCGGAGCCAGCACCTTCATTTCACCGTCACATGATCCCGTGTCACAACATGCTGCTGAAAGGTCAACATGACCTTTCTCCTCAGTGCCCTGCCAACCAGCAGGAAGCCCTGGAGCAGGTAGCACAACACTCCCACCCCTTTCCCCAAACGACTGGATGGCGGGAGCGCATCCTTTCCAACACCAACACTTTCAAGCAAACCACTCTTCTTTAAAGTATGTTAAGTTCCAATCTCCAACGTGAAGAACCCTCCCCGCTAATCAAGACATCTGAAATGACCGGGGCAAGAGACAGTGATTGCAGCTCGTAGAACAGCCCGAGCAGCACCTTGGCATACATCTGAGCTATGGCCGGTGAGGCAGGCTGGGAGACCAGAGCGCACGTCGGGGAAAACTCGTGCTGCACGTGACCAAGAGCTCATTCGTTACGGAGCCTATGCGGCGGCGGAGAGGGTGGCCAAGGAGGAGTTCCCGGCCAGGACTGTGCTGTCCAGCGGAGCTCTTCCGAGCGGTGTGGGGCCTCTGGCCACCTGAGCCCAAGATGCACCCAGCTGAATCCTCGGCGACCCGCTGCGATGAAAGGGCACCGCACGCCAAGGGTAAAGTCACTCACACTTGCCACGCATTGGGACTCCACGGTCAGTAGTGTTCCTATAGCAGAGGTGTCCCCAGTGCCGGCTCATCGAATTGTGTTGGGCAAGCTTCAGCTGTTGAGGCCTGAGAATGTGGACAAGGTGCTTGGAAACCTGCGCATTCCACCCTTGCCTTTCGTGGTCGATCACCAAAGCCAAGGATGCACGGCAGCGCTCACAGCTTCACTGAGCTACACAAGCCCCTTCGCCACGACACGGCAGTGGTCCGTGAAGAGGGGAGCGATATATCCGGGTCCAAAATGCTGCAAACACCTCTATGAGGGAGGGACTGGTCTCCCCACCCCTTGGGAAGCGGGGGTGGTCAGACCCCTCTTGAAGAAGGCGAACCCAGGTGATGGCAGCGGCCAATACTGCCTTCCCGGGCAAGGTGCTCGAGCAGGTGGTGGCAACTCCTGGAGGACACGGGTCATCTGGATCAATTCCAGCCTGGTTTTGGAACAGAAACCGCCGAGGTCGCCCTGTGGGATGACCTTTGCCAGGAGAAAGACAGGGGGAAGGCATCCCTGTTGGTTTTTCTGGACCCCTCAGCAGCTTTCAGTACCAACACCCACGGTGTGCTTCTGGACAGTCTGGTCGAGTTGGGAGCTGGAGGCACTCTTTTGCCGTGGTTCCACTCCTACTTGACCAGAAGGTGGCCCTGGGGGATTATGGCCCTGAGCCGTGGCAGTCATGCCACGGAGTACCACAGGGCTCTCTGTTATCCCTCATTCTGTTCAACATCTGGGCGAGGTCATCTGGAGGTTTGGGCCGAGATGTCACGGTCTACCTCTTTTTCATCCAATCCAGGTGGGGCAGTGCCTGGACAGTGATGGACTGGATGAAGGCCCATCCAGGGTTAATCCAGCCAAGACAGAGCTCCTGTTGGTAGGCAGGTCACCTGGCTGGGTGACTCAGGTTCGTCCCGCTCTGGACAGGGTCACACTCCCCGCAAGGGAGAGGTTCCGTAGTCTGGGAGGGCTCCTTGACCCAGAGGTTTATCTTTGGAATCGCATGTAGCTGCTGTGGTGAGGAGCACTTTCCACCAGCTTTGGCCGGTCCGTCAACTACACCCTTACCTAAAGAAGCAGAGCCCAACAGTAATCCATGCTCCGGTAACCTCCCGCTTGGACTACTGCAATGCACTCTACATGGGACTACCCTTGAAAATGATCTGGATACTTCCAACCGGTACAGAGTGGAACAGCTCGAGTGCTCCAAATGGCAGACAAGATCACACCACACCAGTTCTTTACTGGTTATCAACTCAAACTGAGGCCCCAATTAAGGGGTTAACGCTGCGTACAAAGTCCTAAATGGTTTACGGCCTGTCCATCAGAAGGAATGTCTCCATCCGTTATATTTTTATAAGTAATTGCTTATTATAGTTCAAGTGCTGTTATGAATTTAACTGTTTGGTATTACCCAACGCGTATCCTGCAATGGACAGACGAGCTACAAAAGGTTCACAGAGACAAGAACAAGCTACTCCCATCAAACCCTAAGAATTCCCTGCACACCCAAGCCAAGGGATGTGGGGCTGTAAAAGGGATACAGGCAGCCTGGCGTCCACCAGGTGTTAGCTACTGCTGCTTCTTAAAGGCCTGCCCAGCCATCTCCAAGGATCGGGGAGTCACAGTCCAGAACTTCTGAGGGCACCAGACTGCCCACCCTACTCTAGGGAAGAGGGCCAGAGACTCTAGCTTCCCTGGTCCATCGCTCAGCTAGAGAGCTGTGGGCACTGCCCACGATGATACTCTGCAAAGCCCTTCACTTGCACCTGCCTGGACCCATCAGCTAAATACCACCTTCACTCCTATGCCCATCGGCCCCGGCCACTTGCTCCACCTCCTCTGGGGCGCTCCTTGGTACCCACTCCGTTCAGCCAAGCCGTGCAGGCTGCCTGCTCGGCTGCAGCACAGCTCCTCTGCTCCGAAGGAACGCCGCCGCCGCCGAGCCCTCCTCGCCCAGCCACCCGGCTGCTGGCGGCACCCACCTTGATGGTGCTGAGATCCATGGGGTGCTTGATGATCTCGTGGTAGTCGTGGAGGCCCAGGGCAGACGCATCCACCGGCTTGTAGAAGGGCCACGCGTAGGCCGCGTGCTTCTTGGACACGAGCTCCTTGAGAATGCTGTTGCAGTACTTGAGCTGCTCCGAGAGCTTGCCTCGCTTGGAGGTCTGGTGCTGCTGCGAGTCGGGCAGGTCTTTGCGCGGAGGCTTGATGGGACGCCCGCTCTCCCGCCGGGCAGGGATCTTGGCGGCCTTGACCTCCAGCAGGGCAGCTGAGGGGGAAGACTCCCCGCCACTGGTGGCAATGATGGCCGTGGGGGTGGGGGTGGTGGTGTCTGCTTTCCGCTTCACGCCTTTCTTCTGGGGAGGGCAAAGGTACGGCTCACAGGCACGTGAGCCGGAAAAGGGAGCGGGACCCCTGCCAGAATCTGAGGCGGCCCAAGAGCCCCGCGGCTCAGGTCCAGCTGGACGCGCCCTGGGCGATCCTGCCGTCACGGGCAGCGCCCACCAAGCCGGCTGCACCAACTCACCTTGGCTACGGGCTGTGTGGGAGCAGGCACCGAGAGCACCGGCTGGGAGGAGGCAGAGGAGTGGAGTGGCTTGAGGAGTGGCGTGGAGATGACCGACGGGTGGGGGAGGTTGATGATGGTGGTGGGGATGTCGGTGCTCGTGGGGAAGAGCTGAGTGTGAGACACCGAAGAGATGGCCGGCACCTGCTGGGCAGCCGCGCTGGATGCTGCCAAGAGCGCTGGGGAGAGAAGAGCAGCAGTGAGCAGCGACCAACTGGGAACCACTGCCTGCTCCCGAGACTGGGCGTCCCACCGGCCGCCCTAGCTCACAATCCAGCTGCACCTCCACGCCTGCCCCCGCCCCCCACTGCTGTAAAGCGCCCCGAGAGCTTCAGCTCTGGAGCAAGAGAGAGCTAAAACTAATAGCGAGTCATTTTTCTACCCGCAAGTCGTATTTTGGGCAGTCATTTCCACCCTCCCTGAACCTGGGACCCTGCCCAGCGTTACCTGCTACCCGAGACGCCCCCTTCTTGTGGCTGTTCTTCGCTACAGTGATTGCTATCTCCAGCTCCTCCTGAGGCATTTGGGCCACCTTCTGCAGGAAGATCTTCTCCAAGGTTTGGGCCATCAGCACAATATCATCGGTGGGCTATGGGAAAAGACACCGCCCCTCAGGAACGAGATGCAGGGCGGCACGGCTGCCTCTAGCAGCCCGTTCGCTCCAAACCATTCCATACAGCAGTCTGCCCAATCCCTGGCAGCCTCAGCCACCCACGGACCCCACCGGTGCACGCTCCCCTTCTGAAGCACCAGAGCAGCAGGCACACCCAGAACGCCTGTTGGCCAGCACGCACCTTGTTGTATATGTAGCAGTTGGTGAACATGGTGTTGAAGTCTTGCATGCATTCTGCCGAGCTCCAGTAGTAGTTGTTTTCCAGTCGCCGCTTGATGGTGCCCATGTCCATCGGCTGCTTGATGATTTTGTGGTAGTCCTGGAGACGGAGAGGATCAAAGCAAGGCCGGATTGTGCAGAGCAGACGGACGTGTCCCTGTCCACCCCACTCAGCACCTCGGGCCATGTTACGTCTAGGCACTCCTGCCACAACAAGAGTGTGGGGGGTGGGGGGGGAGTAAGCAATTCATGCTTTGCTCAAAGGCACCTTTGCAACTGCAAGAATCCAGGAGGACACAAGAAGAGGAGCCGTAACTCTCAACCCACAGAGTGAAGTAAGGATTGCTTGTATCTTTCCCCAGAGAGAACCAGAGCCTACATCGCAAATATCGCAGAGGCTAATTCTGCTAAGAAAGCCTGTCCTGCCTCAGAGACCCCACTGAACATGAAGAATCTAAGCAAGCATAAACCTAGATGGATTTTACCTCTGGGCTTTAACTCCTTGGGTGCCACACGTGCTGGCCTTTAATTTGGGGGTCACTTGATGTCTTCTACAAAGTCATGGATGGGAATCTGCAAAACGCATTCAGGGCACAAGAGATTAGATTCGGTGGGTGGCGTGATAGCGCAAAAGCGGCTGCATCGTCTCATCCATACCTTTGTAGGTGGCTTTAGGGAGCACTAGCTGCAACCCCTGGGCAAAACCAAGAGGTTACAATCATAGCTGAGCTGTTAATACAGACTGAACAGAACCAGCTACAGACCGGGACCAAACGCTGGCAGACTGCGGAAGACAATGCCAAGCCAGCAGCTACACACAATGAAATGGACGGGGGGCAAGGAACAGCCCAAGGCCGTGGCCAAAAATTTAAGGAGAAGCTTCTTCTCACACCCATAATACTGGCTCGGATCACAGGAGGACAACGCCTTGCTTGGCAGCCGGGGTGGGCAATGCTTGCTCAGTGGGGGCCAGCACGAGCCAGAGTGCTGCCCACCCCCTGTGCTTTAACAGTGCAGCTCCAGGTCAGGGAATGCGCTAGAAGTGGCCCAAAACAGCCACAGTGGCCACAGCATCACCTATCCAGCAGCCCCTCTGGCTCCCTACGTTCCCCGATTCAGACGGTTCTGCAGGGGGACTGGCCAAATTCAAGGAAGTGGCTACCCATGCCTTCTAGCAGCCTTGGCGGCATTGCATTACCTCCATCGGAGGCAGCATGCCTACGTACGCCTGCCTGCATCGCTGATGAGCTTAAACAGTGCGGCTTTTGCACCCATCCTGCCTGAAGGATCCTGTCTGCAGCTGGCCTGCTGCCACGTGAAGGGAGCACTGGGGTGGATGGAGCTTTGGTCTGATCCAGCACGGCTGTCAGGTGCTCTCCCAGGCACAAACAAGGGAAGGAAGGCTCATTTACCGGAAGGCCCAGCTTGACGGCATCCACGGGCTGACGGAAGGGCCAAGCAAACTGGTGCTTCCAGAGCGCTTTCATCACCACTTTGTGGAGGTACTGCAGCTGGTTGGTGACCCTGCCTGGCTTCTTGGGGTTCGAGACCTCCGGCGGGGGCGGATTGGCCGGGGTCAGGTGAAGGGTCGGTACAGGTGCCATGTTGGGGCCCTCGAAGCCCTCGTAGAGGAGCGACGGCTTGCGGATCCTCTTCCCTGGCGTGGACTCCACAGCCAAGCCCACGAGGCCCACATTGCCCTCCCCCAGGATCCTGCAAAACAGGGACAGAAGTGCCATTAAGGAGGAGCTGGGACCCGTCTTGCCTCCAGCTCTCACTCCCCATGTAAACCAGCAACGGCAACGTGAAGGGTGACTGGACATTCCTTCCCGCTGACACAACGGTTCCCACCACCCACCAGTGCCCTTCTCCCTCCAAGCTCCCCTGGAAAGAGGCAGGGCCAGTGGTGGCCCACCAGTGCAGCGAGCCCAGAACAACAGGAGCACCTACTTGTCCCTGAACAGATGCAGCAAACGGGCCCCAGAGGGAAGTTGGAGGACAAGGCAAAGGTAACCGCTGTGCCATCAGCACCAATTCGCATCTACTTCGGCATTTGGCATTTCCTCGCTTGCAACATTGCATTTGCTGCCCAAGCGCATCACCCCGGCCACTACTCAAACAAGCCTCCAAATCAAAACGCTGGAAACTAGAAAATCAATCGCCTCAAGAAAACCCAACAAGGAACATGAGACTCTCTCCAAAGAGCCTCCTTCTCACTAACTCCAGCCCAAGATTACTCAGATGAGGCGAATTCTACCACCCGGGTTGATACGAAAGGGTGAGGGACTGCAAAAACAAGACATGTTTGTATGCTGGGGGGGGGGGGGCACTTCAAGGCAAACTCAGTCCCACACCAGTTTATTAGATTTATATCCCGCATTTTTCTTACAAACTCAAAGCAGTTTATATCACCCTCCCCCATCTCAATCTTATCCCCACAACAACCCTGTGAGGTAGGCTGGGCTGCGAGTCTGTGACTGGCCCAAAGTCACCCAGGTGGCTCCATGGCTGAGCGGGGACTAGAGTCCAGATCACCTGAGTTCCAGACCTGTGCTCTTAATTATGATATTACACTGGCTTTCCTACTCATAGGATGTTCCTACTCAAGTCTGCCTGGCAGCAGCCATGGGGAAATGAATGGCTGTATGGGCCGGCCTGCCCTCCCTGGGCCCAACCGACCAACAGTGAACGCCTCTGAAATATGCCCAGATGGGTTCTTAGCTGAGACAGGGAGGTAAAAAATGAAAAGCACTCAGGCTACATATCCTGAAAAGGGGTCACTGCTAACCCAGCATGCGACTCAAAGATAGTGCTGGAAAAAATGCATAAACAGGGGAACTTCATGTACAGCAGCTCCCACCCCGCAGGCATCACTCGGTACACCCACAAGAGCAGATCCAGAACAAGGCTCAGTCACCACCTGCCAACTCCAGCTGATTAGCCTCTCTGGGAGCTTTCCTCCAAGGAGCCCAAGGCCACGTACACAACTCTTCCCTGCCTTTCTGCCGTCGTCCAGGCAGCACAGGCCTGAAGGCAACGGCTAGCCCAACGTTGCAAATGAGGATGTGAGGATGCGAACTCGCATCTCCGTGTAGACCAATAAGCAGGAAAGCAGGGACCATCGCTCAACAGACAGTCGCTTGCCCCAGGGCAACGCAGCCCCGGTGGGAAAGAAGCAACTGACCAAGGCAACACAGCCGCAGCACGGGGGCCCGGCCCTCCTCTTTGCCTGAGGGCCCCCTGCCCCTCGGGCAAGCCCAATGCCTCCCAGGCAACGCGGGTGCTCAAGCCAGCCAAGCCGCGCCAGCCGCAGCCTCGCCGGAGGGATCGCAAGGGAGCTCTCGACCCGCGAGCCCAAACCGCCGGCGGGATACCCGAAGCCTCCGGAGCCGGGAGAGGAAGCGGCGGTTGCTAAGCGATTGTGATGTCAGGCGTCCCTTCCAGGGAGCAGGGGAGGCCCCCCCCCCCGCCTGCAGCCCGCGCCGGGCGAGCGGCTCGGCACGGCAGCGCCCGCGGCTCCGGCGTGCCCCCGCTTCCGCCCCGCGGCGCCCCCGCCCGCGCCGAGGCGGAAGCAGCGGCCATGACGGCGGCCCAGCCCGGCCGGCGCCCCCGCCGCCGCCGCCTCCCCCGCCCCTCTCGAGCGGCGCGCGCCGGATTACGTACTTGCCGTTGGGGTTCACGTTCTGCAACATGCCTGCAGGAGCACCAGCAGCCGCTCTCCCCGGGGGCCCGGCTCTCTCCCGGGACGGTCCCGCTCCAGCCGCCGGCGCCTCCGTGGCCTCGGGGACCCCCCCCACTTTGCTCGGGTGGCGCGGCCTCGCAGGGGGGAGAAAACGGCCGCGCTCAGGGGCGCATGGCAGCCCCCCTCCCGCGGGAAGGGGGAGGCGGGCGGCCGAAGGCGCACGGCTTGTCTGGGGAGGGGGCGCTGCCGCACGGGAGAGCAGGTCCGGTTTCCTCCTCCGGCCGAGGCTGCCCCCCCACCGCTGGATATCAGGATAAAAAGCTAATAAAATGGCGGCCTTTACAGTTGCAGGGCACTGAAATTGAAGGGGAGGGTCCCCTCCTGCAAGCCCCCCCGGGGACTCCGACGTCGCCGGGCCGCCGGCAATATAGGGCTTCCCGGTCTCCTTGGAGCCTGCCGCATCCGGAGGCGCCGGTCCCCAGGCGAGTCGTCGCGGTCTGCGGCGCAGATGGCACTGGATTGTACTGGGATTACTGGCGGCGCTCCACCTTTGCTCTCTCGCGAAGGGTGGGTTGGCTGGGGGACAACAACCGCTACGGAAGCCGGGAGGGGGATCCGCCGAGCCGATGGCAACAACGACGGCCGGTGATTGGGGCTTGCCCGCCGAGGATGGCTCTGGATTGAGTCCGCCCACCCCTGCCTCCCTGCCTGCTTGGCTCGGCTGCGCGCGCGCTCCTTCGCTCGCTCTCCCAGACCAAGATGCTTCCTCCGCTTCAGCGAAATGGCGCCTCTCGGCCTTCCCCCGATGTCCCTTATATAGAGGCGATCTCAACACCCATTGGCCGTAAGAGCCACTGACATCACCATCCCGCATAGACACGCCTCTTCGCCGGCTCGACAAGTCCTAGAGGGTGGAGAAGACACGGACGACGCCCGGCGATTGGATGCCGCGAAGATCAATCACGTGCCCCCCTCCCACCTCCTGTTGTGTTGTCCTGCTCCGCCGACCCCGGCAGCCGGCTCACGCATTGGCCGTCCCTGCCATTCGTTGCCTTTTCATTGGCCGCCCGGTCACGTGTGGGCGGGGCGGCGGTTGGGAAGCAGCCGTTGGTTGTTGTGGGTCTCTGCTCACCGCGGGGGGGAAGGGAGGAGGAGAGGAGAAAGCGCCATTTTGTGGACGCGGAGAAGCGGGGCGCGGGGCGCGCGAACAATGAGCGGCAGCGGCGGCCCCGTCCGGGCGGCCCCGTCGGGCTCCCGAGGGCATGCCGCCTCCGCCGCTGGGCGCCCCCGGGGGGCCGGGGGGGGGGGGGGCGCTCGCAACGGGGAGCGCAGCGGGGCCGGCTCCCCTCGGAGCCTCTTCCCGCCAAAACGCGAGCCGCCCTCGGCGCGCGCAAAAGCCTCCCCGCCTCAGCCCCAAAGCGCCGCGTCGGGCCTTAGTCGCAGCGGACTCGCCGAGGGAAGGCGCCGCCGCGCCTGCCGCAGAGAAGCGGGGGCACCCGCGCCCCCCGGAGAGCCGGCCCGGGCCTCAACGCGCGGCACGCCGCGAGGCAGCGCAGCCGCACTCCCGCGCCGGAGCGGAGCGGCCCCCGCGCGCCGTGCCCGCCGCAGGCGTCACGCCCGGGCCGCGGAAAAGGGCGCCCGCCCGCGAGCCAACCCCGCGAACCGGGCTGCAGCCCCAGCCCGGCACCGCCCCGTCCGGCGCGGCGAGCGC